CAGGCATGGTGGCACACGCCTTTAATCCCAGCACTTGGGAGGCAGAGGCAGGCAGATCTCTGTGGTTCTAGGCCAGCCTAGTCTACGTAGTGAGTTCCAGGACAGCTGGGGCTACAAGGAGACCCTGTCTCAAAAAAGACAAAAAAAATTTTTTTTCTAGTGTGTATGAGTGTTTTGCCTGTATGTATGTTGTGCAATGCCTGTGGAGGCCAGAAGAGGGTGTCAGATCTCCTGGAACTGGATTTACAGATAGTTGTTAGCCATCATGTGGGTTCTGGGAACAGAGCCCTCGTCCTCTGCAAGAACAGTAGGCAATCTTAATGGCTAAGCCATCTCTCCAGCCCCTTTAATAGATGTAGCCCAGCCAGACATGGTGGTGCTCACCTTTAATCCCAGCACTTGGGAGACAGAGGTGAGTGGATCTCTGAGTTCCAGGCCAGCCTGATCTACATAGTGAATTTCAGGCCAGCTGGTGCTACAGGGAGACCCTGTCTCAAAACAAAAAAGATGTAGCCCAGACTGGCCTCAAACTCACACAGATCTGCCGGCTCCTGCCCCAGAATCTCTGCTTTTAACCAGTTAAGTTTGCTGTCAGAAATGGGGATCACTGTTCAAAGAGCTCCAGGGCTCCCTCCTCAATCTACTATTTAGGCAGGGACAGAAGGTGGCTGCCCCTCCCTGGTCCAGGCTCCTGCCCATTCTACAGATACTGAAGAAAGTTCCTCCTCCCTCGAAACACCTGACCACCACTGATATCCCATCTCCAGCTGGAGGCCTTTGCTGGCCCCCTGGCATCTTAACTTACCTTCACCTCCAATGTGAGGTTGCTGCAAGAGAGGGAAGGACCTGATAAGGATGGATGAGAGCAGGGAGGGGCTGATTTGAGTCTTGTGGATTCTCCCACCCTGCTACCCAGGGTCTAAATCAGCACCCAGCTACAGAGCACCTACTGTGTGCCCAGTCCAGGAGGGCTGCAGAGAGAAACTACCCCACCCAACAGGACTTTGTGGTCTGCAGGGGAGGCAATATAACCCCATCCAGAGGCTGCAACAGGTCTGAGGTTAATTGAGCCTTTTCATCCAAGCTAGAGTTGGGTCTCTCTTTTCCCAGGGCATTTAGAAGGCTTCTTCAAGAAGGTGGTGCTTAGGTAGCCTCTGAGCGCTGAGAGCAGAGATTTCAAAAGCCACAGAGGGGGATAAGGAACGCTGGGCTGCTTTTTCCTGCTACTACCAGATTTTAAATGAGCACCTTAGTCAGAGGCCAACTTTCCATGTCCTCCCAGCAACCTAGCCCCAATTCCAGCAGCTCTTGACCTATTGTAGGAAGATGCATTGTTTGAATAGTCTACCCATGTTACAGAGTGGTAAACTGAGGTCTGGGGAGGTCACAGAGCTCACCTTAAAAATGTACATGCTCTGTACCACCACTGGCATCTGGAGGCCCAGACTTCTGACCAAAGCCTAGAAGGGGAAAGAAGTCACACTGTCAGCCTGTCACATGTATTCCCCACACCCTCCCCTGCCTCTGCTCACCTGCATCTTGGGAGAGTGTGTGATGCTCTTGAAGACAGGGTCATGGGCATGCAGAGCTGTGGGTCAGAGATGTGTTCATGAGCCAGCCTTGGCCCCTGTTGTGTAACCCTCCCATACCCCGGACACCAGCTCGGGCATCACTTTGTCATTCTTACCTATCGGGGTACATTAAACTTTATGCTTGCTTTCAACCAATTAAAGGGCCACAGACACCTTCATTCCACTCCAGCCATGACCTCATTCTGGTTTTGGGTGTTTTTGTTTTTGTGTTTGCTTTGAGGCGGGGTCTCATGTATCTCAGAATGGCTTTGAACTCACTATGCACCTGAAGATTACCTTGAATTTCCTATCTTCCTGCCTCCACCATCTGAGTCCTGGGATTAGAGCTGTGGGCCACCATGCCAGGTTTATATGGTGCTGGGGCTCAAACCCAGAGCTTCGTATGTGCTAGGCAAGTACTCTACTGACTAAGCTATATCCTGTGACCTTATTCTTGACCTTCTAACCATCCAGGAACCTCATTCCAGCCTTGACTCCCCACACTTCACAGAGGAAAAAGAACTCCCAGAGGCCCTTCCTTGGTGGCAATTTCATTATTGCCACTTCCTGTGTGTGACTCGGGTAATAAGCCTGTTCTGCAAGCCTTGATCTCCTCCTCTTTAAAATGGGGATGAAAAAAACTACTCTGCCCCCAAGAGATGCTGCAGAGTTCAGTGGGCTAACTAGTGTGTCATAGTAGCCCAGGCCCAGCCCGAGACAATCACTCATTACCAGCATCTGATATTATTACAAAAAAAGTAAGAGCTAGCCGGGCGTGGTGGCACTGCCTGTAGTCCCAGCACTCGGGAGGCAGAGGCAGGCGGATCTCTGTGAGTTCAAGGCCAGCCTGGTCTACATAGTGAGTTCCAGGACAGCTGGGGCTACGGGAAGACCCTGTCTCAAAAAGACCAAAAAAAAAATGGTTATGATGAATTGGATATAATGCTATAATTCCAGAACTCTGGAGACTAAGGCAGGAGGTTCATCAGTTCCAAGTCAGCCTGGATTACATAGTGAGACACCATCCCCCACCCCAGAAAGAAAGAAAGAAAGAAAGAGGAAGGAAGGAAGGAAGGAAGGAAGGAAGGAAGGAAGGAAGGAAGGAAGAAAGGAAGGAAGGAAGGGCTACAGGGAGACCCTGTCTCAAAAACACCAGAAAAGAAAAAGAAAAAAAGAAAGAAAAAATATTCTATAAAATAAATTATAATGTGTGATTTCGTTTATTTATTTTATTATTTTTATGTGTCTGAGTGTATTGCCTGCATGTGTATAAGTGTACCCGTGTTGTGCAATGCCCATGGAGGTCAGAAGACAGTGTCAGATTCCCCAGAACTGGAGTTAAGGATGGTTCATAGCCACCATGTGAGTGCTGGGAATTGAACCCAGGTCCTCTGCAAGACCAGTCAGTGCTCTTAACCACTGTGCCATCTCTCCAGACCCTAATGTGTGATTTTGGAAACAAGGTCAGGGTTTCCATAATTGGCTTGGGGGGGAGTCTTAGAATAAAAATTGAGTTAACATGTCAGGCATCCCCCTTGAAGGAACTCCAGGAAGCAGCAGGAACCAGGACCTCCATATGTGGGACAGAGATCATCCCCCTAGCCTAAGCAGTAGAGAATGGAGAAACCTGTACTACCCAACTATGGCGTGGGAGTGGGCGTGTGGAATGCAAGTGGAGCCCTTCCCCAGTGCTAGGGTGTCGGTGCTGTGTGATCAGCATCAGTGGATGGGAAGATCAAGGTCAGAGGGCCTTGGCCAGACCAGAATGCCAACCTTACCATTGGCTTGGTCTAAATGTATCTAAACTCTGTTTTCTTTTCTGCACTCCAAACCTGTGCTCACCGTGGCCAATTTTGTTGATAGATTTCTCTGGAGGGACCAAGAAATTTCCTGTGGCACAAAGAACAGATTTGGGGAGAAGACCTGGAGTCCAGCCTCCCTTAGGCATCTGCCTCAGCACCCTCCCAGCCCCAGGGGGCAGACACGCCCATCCAGCCCCACCCACCACTGTTTCCTTGCATAGCTAGGGTCTCGGCTCCAAACCTTTCTCATCAAAAACGCCTTTCTCAAAGAAGAATCGAATCTTGTCACCACTGCTCAAGAAATAGTCTGTGCTGCCCTGTGGAAGGGGACGTGGGAAGGACTGAGTATCTGGGGGTCAGAGCTAGACCTAGCAAAGAAAGGAGTGGATTCAGGAGCTGCCCACCCCTGCAGGACCACAGATACCCCCAGGAGCTTCTCAAAGAGGCCCAGTGAGGCACAGACAGAGGGCTAGAACTCCAAATACCTGGAAGTCCAGCCTGAAGTCACAAACCTGAAATTTCTTGGAACTCTCTTAGGGCAAATACTCCTGAACTTTCAAAGCAGTTATGACCAGATAAGATCATATAAGTTGAAAATGTCTTACATTTGGCTGGAGAAATAGCTCAGTGGTTAAGAGTACTGGCTGCTCTTGCAGAGGACCCAGGTTTAATTCCCATCATCCTCATGGTGGCTAACCACTGTCTCTAACTCCAGTTTCAAGGGATCCAATGTCCCCTTTTGCCTACATGGGTATTGCACATATGTGGTGCACCTACACACATACAGGTAAAACACTCATAGTATAAAATAGAAATAATTTTTTTTGGTCTTTTTTGAGACAGGGGCTCCCTGTAGCCCCAGCTGACATGGAAATATGTAGACCAGGCTCGCCTTGAATTCATAGAGATCTGCCTGCCTCTACCTCTGTTGTGCTGGGACCAAAGGCATTTACCACCACATCCAGCTTAAAATAGAAAAAAAAATTTGAAATTAAAAAAAAGAAAATGAAATATATAAAAATGCCTTTTATGTGTGTACAGATGTATATTGCCTTTCATGTATGTACAGATATGTGTGTGTGTATGTGTAGGCTAGAGGACAACCTTAGGTGTCATTCCTCAGGAGTCATCCTTTTTTCTTTAATAAGACATTGTCTTTTGGGGACTGGAGAGATGGCTTAGTGGTTAAGAGCACCGACTGACCCGGGTTCAATTCCCAGAACCTATACGGAGGCTAACAACCATCTATAACTCCAGTTCCAGGAGATTTGATGCCTTCTTCTTTTGATTCCAAGGGCATTGCACAACACGGGTACACTTACCTACATGCAGGCAATACACTCATGCGCATGAAATAAAAATAAATAAAATATTTTAAAAGACAGCAACCTTCACTGGCCTATTACCAAGTTAGCTAGGCTGGCTGCCCAGCAAGTTCCAAGGAATCTGCCAGTCTCTGCTTCCCCAGCACTGGGGTTACAAGTATGGACCCTGTTGTTTTAGTTTTTATTTTATTTTATTTTTATTTTATGTGTATGCATGTATTGCCTGCATGTAGGTAAGTGCACCTGTATTGTGCAATGCCCACGGAGGACAGAAGAAGCTGTCGAATTCCCTGGAACTGGAGTTAAGAACAGTTGTTAGCTGCCATATGGGTGCTGGGATTTGAACCCGGGTCTTCTGCAAGAACAGCCAGTGTTCTTAACTGCTGAGCCATCTCTCCAGGCCCTGGACCCTGTTGTTTTAATGTGAATTTTGGGGTTTGAACTCAGGTTCTCACACTTACAAGGCAAGCAGTTTATCAAATGATCCATCTCTCCCCAGTGCTAAAAATGCCTCTAATAGCAACAGGAGAGATGGCCCAGTGGTTAAGAGCATGTACTGCTTTTCCAGAGGACCCAAGTTCTAGTCCCAGCACTCAGAATAGGCGGCACACAATGGCCTGTTACTCTACTTCCAGGGTGTTAAGATGTCTCTGGCCTCTGTAGGCATCTGCACATATTCTCACACATACACATAATTAAAAGTAATAAAAAACAGGCTCAGTATGGTAGTGCATGCCTTTAATCCCAGCACTCAGGAGGCAGAAGCAGGCAGATCTCTGTGAGTTCAAGGCCAGCCTGGTGGTCTCTGGTATGAACATTTGAAATGTGCCTGTTCTGACTTTTCTTTGGTTCACCGTCTGGAACTTGTAAAGTGAACTACTACTCCTGCCTTTACTTCTCCTTCACATCCCCTAGTCACCAGTCAAGGACCTTCTTTTCTCCCTACAGATAAGAGTTAGGTAATTTGGGAGTCTTAGATAGACCCACTGAAGGGGTACCGCAATGGCCTCACCCTGTGTCTCTGTTCACCATGGAAGAAGCCAGAGCACTCTGCGTCCTGATTTCCTATCAGCAATTTGGGTAACCTCTTCAGAGGATGCTGTGATAAGAATAGGAGGTAGGAATTGGCTAGGCAGGGTAAAAAGACTCCAAAGAAAAGTAGCCAGTTTCTTGGCTAAAAGTCAAAAAGTCTTTGGGCCTCTTAGCAACATACTCTGTTCCAAAGGCCAAAATTGTCAAAAGTATTTGGGAGCTTTTATCTAATCCCCAAAAGATTTTAGGGTTACCTCTTCAGAGGGGGGGAATGTTAGAGCAGCAAAAAGAGAGAGAGAGAGAGAGAGAGAGAGAGAGAGAATACACGAAGTCAGAAACAAGTGATGGGGAGATATGGGAGGAGTTGGAGGGGAGGGAGCGGGTGTGGATTTGATCAAAACACCTTAGATGCATGTATGAAATTCTCAATAAAGTTTTTTTTAAAGTTAAAAAAGCCGGGTGTGGTGGTGCACACCTTTAATCCCAGCACTTGGGAGGATCTCTGTGAATTCAAGGCCAGCCTGGTCTACATACTGAGTTCCAGGACAGCTGGGGCTACAGGGAGACCCTTTCTCAAAAAGACCAAAAAAAAAAGTTAAAAGAAATACCTTTAATATACTAACCAGCTGTTATGGTGTCTATATATAAATCATCATCCCAAAAGACTCACGTATTGGAATCTTGGTTCCCCACTGTGGTGCTCTCAAGGGGTGATTGGATCACGTGGATTTTAACTTCATTGCTATATTAATGTATTGATGAGCTGATGACTGAATACAATGTTAGAGGTTGGGCTTAGTTGGGGGAAGCAGGTCACCATGGGCAAGGCTTTGAAGGGCACATCTTGCCGCCAGATCCTTCCTCTGTACTCTCTGCTTCCCAGCTACTGTGAGGAGCTCTGCTCCATCAGACCCTCTCTGCCACAATACTGTGTCCATCACAGGCCCACAGTGATGGAGCCAAGTGACAGTAGAGCGAAGTGACAGCAAACCGAGCAAATCCTTCTTCTTTTTTTTTTTTTTTTTTTTGGCTCTTTTGAGACAGGGTCTCCCTGTCTCCCTGTAGTCACAGCTGGCCTGGAACTCATTATGAAGACCAGGCTGGCCTTGAACTCACAGAGATCTACCTGCACCTGTCTCCAGAGTGCTGGGATTAAAGGTGTGGGAATTTTTCCCATGCCTGGCTGGGAATTTTTTTTAATTTTTTAAAATTTTTATTTATTTCATGTGTATGCATACATTGCCTGCATGTAGGTAAGTGCACCCGTGTCATGCAATGCCCATGGAGGTCAGAAGAGGCTGTCAGATCCCCTGGGACTGGAGTTACTGACAGTTGTTAGCTGCCATGTGGGTGCTGGGATTCGAACCCAGGTCTTCTGCAAGAACAATCAGTGTTCTTAAGCTCTGAGCCAAATCTTCAGCCCCCTAAATTTTTTTGGCCTTTTTGAGACAGGGTCTCCCTGTAGCCCTAGCTGGCCTGGATTTGCTATGAAGACCAGGCTGGCCTCAAACTCACAGAGATCCACCTGCCTCTGCCTCCTGAGTGCTGGGATTAAAGGCGTGGGCTACCACGCCTGTCCAGCCCCCTAAATTTTATTTATTTATTTATTTTAGGTGTATCAGTGTGCTGCCTGTATGTAGGTAGATGCACCCATGAAATGCCCGTGGCCATCAGAAGAGGGAGCTGGATCCCCTGGAACTGGAGTTATGGAAGGTTGTGGGTGCTGGGAATTGAACCTGAGTCCTCTGCAAGAGCAGCCAGTGCTCTTAACCACTGAGCCTTCTCTCTAGTCCTGAGCTGGGAAACAAAACAAAACAACAAAACAAAAAAACAAACATGTCCAAAAAACACTGACACACAATACTCCATCGCGTGTCACTGTTTTTCCTTGTGAGCGTGTAACTCTCAGCCACCACCCAGTGTCGCAGCACAGTGTCAACAAGACCAAAGTTAAACTGTAAAGTTTTGCTGAAAGTACATTCCTCTCATAAGGTTGAAAAATCTTAAGTTGAACCATTGTAGTATGGACCAAAATACAATACCATCTTGCATCTTCCCCACCACCATTGACTGGTCTCTGGAATGTTCTCAGAAGGTAGCTGGGTGAGGGGTTCGGATTCACCCCCTCACTCTTCCAGGCCCTTGGTGGCCCTCTTTCTGTTTCCTCACCTGGAGGGTGAGCACGCAGGGATCTGGAAGAAACTTACTTCATAGTACTTTTTCTTGTCCTAACCTTCCCCTGAAAACCAGGGTCAGGATGTTGTCATCCTATTTGTGCCCACCAGATGGCAGGAGCTCCTCAGCATCAGTATGAGTGAGCCCTGTGGCCAGGTCCTCAATTCAGACTATGCAGCCTTAAGAGAGTTGGGTGGAGAAACACCTACCCTATCTACTTGTGTTGCATCCTAAGACAAAATTGGACTTCCTAGTCTGGCTACCAGATGATTCACCCAAGAATGAACCATCACAATCGCAGGCATAGGGCTCACGCTGGTCACAAAGAGGCTCTGTGTGGCCGGAGAACTTTGAGGAATCACAGTAGATCAGTGAACAGAACCACTTGGTATGAGGGAGCTGGGTTCAAATCCTGCCTCTATCAGTTATGAACTGTGTGGTAGAGGCAGTGATATTAACCAATGAGAAGCCTTATTTCCACTTGTCAAATGGGAACAATAATACCTACCTTATAAATTCATAGAGAGGAGTTGATGCAGAAGTACTTAGCCTGGCATGCAGATGGCTGGGGTCTGATGCCTTATCAGGAGCCCGTGGTCTTAGGTTTGTCTCCCCGATCCTGCTGCTCTGGTAGGGGACTAAGCCCCCATCAAAGACCAGATCCTATGTTCACCTGCCCCGGGCACCTACCTGGGCTCGAAGCTGCTCATCTTCCTGGGTGGAAAACTCTGTGCGGCAGTGGAGAGGGACGTCCATCTTGGCCACGATATCGTCAATCCTCTGTTGCATGGCCACACAGTCTTCTGCCGACAAGAATCCTTCCAGAACCAGAAATCCATCCTCCTGGAACTGCAGGCAGGAACAAGACTCAGGTTTCCCTCTGCCCACACTTCCTTCTGCTACTTACGATCCACATTTGACCCCAAACTTAAACTGTATAGTGAGACCAGGTGTCCTGCTCTCGGGGCTCTGTCCCCGATCCTGGACATGGGTGTCTGGTACTCAGTGAGAAGCAGAAAGTATTGGCCGCTTGGATCTTAGAGAGGAAAGGGAAGGGGAGGATGTCTCTCCTCTTGTCCTCCAATGGGTTTGGAGCACATGAAAATACAACCTTTTCTGCTTTGTTTTCTTATTTCCCTATTTATTTATATGTATATGCTATTTATGTGAGTGTGCATATGAAGGTACATATGCTTATGCACGCACAGGGAGGCTGGAAGAGGGCATCAGGTTTCTTCCATTTCCATCTATTCCTTTGAGGCAGGATCTCTCCTGGGACTTGCTTGTGTTTTCTTCCCTAGGCTTCCCTAATAAGCTCTGATGATTCCTGTCAGCACCCACTTAGAAGCTGGGTTTACCGACGTGTGCAGGATGCCTAGCTTGTGCTGAGATTCGAACTCAGGTCCTCATGACTGTACAGCAAGTGCTCTTGTTTTTCTTTGTTTGCTTTGAGACAGGGTCTCACTGTGTGGCCCAGGGAGGCCTCAAACTCAAAATCCTTTTGCCTCAGCCTCTTGAGTGCTGGGATTTCAGGTGTGGAGCACATCTGGCTATTACAATGTTTACTGAGCATGTATTGCATAAGAGACACAGTTTCAGCCGGGCGTGGTGGCGCATGCCTTTAATCCCAGCACTCGGGAGGCAGAGGCAGGAGGATCTCTGTGAGTTCAAGGTGAGCCTGGTCTACATAGTGAGTTCCAGGACAGCTGGGGCTACAGGGAGACCCTGTCTCAAAAAGCCAAAGGAAAAAAAAAAAAGAGAGAGACAGTTTCAGGAGGTGGACATGTGGTTAGAAGCAAGCTAGCCAAACGCCCTTACACAGCTTACAGTCTAGTAAAGGAGACCAATACTACATCAGTCACCAGGTAAGAACACCATCCTACATTGTGCTGAGCACAGAGAGGGACAGGCTTTGAGAACTAAGGGCAGAGCATCCAGTGAGAGGATGGGTCACAGGGTAGCTCTAGAAAGTGGCATTTAAAAGGAAACACAAGATACTGCGAAGGAAAGAGATGGGAAGGACATTGCAGACAGAGAACAGGATGTGTCAAGCCTCTGAGCATGAGAGCAACATGAGAAATTGAGAAGAGATGGAAAACAGGGAGGAGACTGGAGGGAGGCAGCGGGGGAGGCAGGGAGGTGGGGGGGAGAGGCAGGGGCTGGGCCAGACAGGGAGCCTGTGCATGCAGCAGGGAGGCCTGGGGGCTTAAGCAGATGGCTTGCTCTGATTTGCCCCCAAGTCCTTTTATTGTGAGGCTGTTGAGAGAGATAAGGAGAGAAAGAACATCTGCAGAGCTGGGGACGGAGTGGTAGGTAGAGTGCTTGCCTACCCGGCATGAGACCCTAAATTTCATCCCCAGCACTGAAAGAAAAAAAAGAGGAAGATTAGGGACCACAGGAGCAAAGATGTAAGGGGGCATCAGTGAGCCCTGCTTAGCGAGAACACTACTGGGAACAGTGAGCTTAAAGGTTCAGCACCAAATGATGAACAGAAAGTATGTCTGGAGCAAAACACAGCTCATAAAAACCAGGTGGTGAGCTGAGGCAGTAGCATGCTTCTGCCTAACATGCCAGGCCCTGAGTTCCACCCCAGAACCACAAAAACTCTGTCAAAACCATATAGAGGGACTGGAGGGATGGATTGGTGGCTGACAGCACTTGCTGCTCTTGCAGAGGACCACAGTTCAGTTCCCAGCACCCATGTTGTGTGGTTTCAAGGGTAACTCCACCTTCAGGGAATCCAAGGCCCTCTTCCGGTCTACATGGGCACCCGGGTACACACATTCACACTCTCACATGCACACACAAATAAAAATATAAATAATAATAATCTTTTTCTTAAAAGTATATTGGGGGCTGGAGAGATGGCTCAGAGGTTAAGAGTGCTTCCTTTTCTTGTAGAGTGCCTGAGTAGGGAAGGCAGACACTCTGCCATTGAGCACATCCACAGCTCCAGGAGAGACTTTGAAACAAGGATCCTGCCTGGGGCTACATACCAAAACACAACAACCTATCAGACTTGGCATATGTATGGCTGATTATTTTAAAGTGTGTGCAGCTCTAATTCCCATGAGGCAAGCTTTCATAATGGGACTGACAGTGGACCTGGGAGGGTGACCTACCTGCTGACCTTGTCCCCCTCCAGCTTTCTGCCCTACCCCGACCCCAGACTGGGTGGATTAAGTAATCTGAATTCTCTCCCTCCCTCCTTCCCTCTCTCCCCTTTCTCTCCCTCTCTCTTCTCTTTCAAGTACACACACACACACACACACACACACACACACACACACACACGTACCCCATACCCCAGGTCTGTAGCCTGGATGTCTCCCGCTGTGTGCACAGAAGTTGGGACTGAGCCTGGGTAACCCACCCTCTGTAAAATGTCATAGTGGGTGTTCAAGGGCCATGAGAAGTCTATGCCCCCTTATCAGATGCTCCCAGCCCACAGGCCCCTACCTTCTGGAGCTGTGAGGGGCTCAGGCAGGCCATGGGGAACACTGCAGGACACTGTTGGCTCTGGGTGCTGCTTCCAGGGCTGGAGAGGAGAACATTCAGGAGGGGAGAGTGGCAGAGGTCCAGGAGGACTTAACCCTTCCCTACCTGGAGAATACGCAATCCCACTGCTCTGTCCTCCCACAGACACACTCAGCCAGTGCTCTCCACCCTAGGCCCAGCCCCTCTCTCCCCTCTGACCTTGGAAGTGGGCCTGGCCTTGGCCAATGTCCAACCTTCAGTTAATCCAAGATTACCCTTCACCTATCCCCTCCTAGTTTATGCTCCCTTACTCCCTCGCGGTTTCTTTCTAGAATCCATTCCTGGCCTGCACTTACTGGGTACCTAAAAATTATGTTATTTGGTGTTGGGCAGACAGTGGACTGTCACAGTTCAGGTGCCAATACTACCTGCGACACTGGTGAACATCTGCCCCTCTCTGTGCCTTAAGTGAGGAAGGGAAAGGTTTAAACATCTTCAGTCACTGAAATGACATCTGGGCTTGGGTGGTTTTGTTGTGCAGATAGGCCCCTCCAGCTCTATCTGAAGCCCTCCATATCCAAGAAGATATGGAAGGGAGCTGAGGGGATGTAGAGCTAAGGGGGGACTGGCGTGTGGAGCCTAGGGCCTCAGAATGAGGAAGAGGGGCTCTGGTTCCTGCTCCCCAGCCTCAGGCCCAAGCTGTTTGGCATCTCCAGAGGGGCTGGCAGGGCACCCAGAGCCACCTGCTGGCTCTGCATTTGACAGGGCTGCTAGGTCTGAAAAGCCGTCCACTGGCCTTCCCAGAAATAGTGCTTTGAGCAGCCAAGGACAGAGTGTCTCAGGAATGAGCGAGGGGACACTGCTTGGCCGTCAACAGTCTTGGCCATGGATCAAGTGTTTTCTGGGCCATAACAGTGGAGGCTGCTGCTTCATGTTAACCATCCAGGCTTCCAGAAAGCTAGGAAGGGCTGAGCCCACTGGGCCCTATAGCTGATGGGAATTCTCAGGGGTTAGGCTGGGAGAGGGGGAGGCAGGAGACAGAATCAGGGGACTCACAGGGCAGGGCACATTCCCAGCTGTGCAGCCCTTTCTGATGCAACCTCTGAGCAAAAACAGACAGCCAGCTGAGTGAGCGCTGGGAACAGCACGAAGCAGGCCCCACTGCTGAACCAGCAGTGGTCAAGGGACCCCACTAGGGGCTGGGGCTGAGGCTTTGAGGCAGGCTAGGTTCGGTTCCAGCCCTTACTTTCTGTAACTGGCGATAACAGGACTTCCTGTGAGCAGTAAGCAAGAAGGAACCTTCCTTCTGCTATGGAGCTTGGCCTTGGGCTTGGTACTGGGGTGCCCCCCAACCAGTTCACCAAATGCTAGCAGGGTTGAAAGTAAAAGCATTTTGTTTTGTTCTTCAATTTATTTATTTATTTTTTGGTCTTTTTGAGACAGGGTCTCCCTGTAGCCCCAGCTGTCCTGGAACTCATTATGTGGACCAGGCTGGCCTTGAACTCACAAAGATCCGCCTACCTCTGCCTCCCGAGTGCTGGGATTAAAGGTGTGTGCCACCATGCCCGGCTTCTTCAAATCATTTTGAGCTTTTCCAAATGTCTAAGTTGCTGTCATAACTAGAGAAAAGACCACCAGTGTGGTTTATTTAGATAGAGTAGAGCAGCCTGGGGTGGGGGTGAAGGCTGGGCAGGGAGGGAAGGCCAGCCTCCATTCTGTTTTTTCTGTTGTCTTTGGGAGGAGAGTAGGGGGTATTTCCACATCATTTGTTTTTTGTTCCAAATGCTAACCAGTTCCAGATTGAACTCTCTAACTCTGGGGCATTGGCCTGGAGCCCCCGGGGTCGGGGAAGTGTGGCAGTGGGGGAGGGGAAGTACAGTTGGTGGGGCAGGGACTAGACCAGAGCAGACAAGACCGGAAGGCCTCACTCACTCTCCGAGGTATGAAAGGGAGTCTTCCAGTAAGTGAAACCCCTGCTCGGCCTCCCCATGACAGGGGACGAAGACATGGAGTCTTGACTCAGACCTGAAGTGTCCGGGTAGAGGAAGGCAGACAGACCCTAGATTGTTGCAGAAGAGCTACCAAAGCAACTCAGACCTCCTCACTAAGGCCAGACACATGGGCCTCTCTTCCACACTCTAAGACTTCCGCTGTACAGTTCCGGTGGGCTCCATGGTCTAGGAGGAAGGTGGGAGTCTCTTTATTTGGTACATGGTTTGAGCATATACCCCAAATATCCATGTTAGGACCCTAATTAGCTTTTCTATTTTTGATTTATTTTTGAGGCAGGGTCTCTCTGTAGCCCCAGCTGGCCTGGAACTCACTATGTAGACCAGGCCGGCCTTGAACTCACAGAGATCCGCCTGCCTCTGCCTCCAGAGTGCTGGGATTAAAGGCGTGCGCCATCACACCCGGCTTTTTTTTTTTAATATTTTATTTATTATTATTATTTTTTGGTCTTTTTGAGACAGGGTCTCTCTGTAGCCCCACCTGTCCTGGAGTCACTATTTAGACCAGGCTGGCCTTGAACTTGCAGAGATCCACCTGCCTCTGTCTGCCAGAGTGCTGGGATTAAAGGTGTGCACCACGCCCGGCTTCGGCTTTATTTTTGTACTTTAAGAAAGGGTCTTATTCTGTAGCTCAGGCTGGCTTCAAACCATATAGCTCCCAAATGGCTTTGAACTGGTGGCAATCTTCCTGCCTCAGTCTTCAGACCACTGAAATTATGGGCAGGATTATGGTGACCTGGTTTAGAGCCTTAATTCTGCAGTGTGGGGAAGTGGGGCCTAGTGGGAAGTGTTTGGGTCCACTCGTGAATGGGTTATTATCTGTTGTGGGAGGTTGGAAAGGGCTAGCTTCTGCTGCTCCCCTCCTCCCTGACCCTCTCTAGAAGGTGCCTTTCTCCTCTTCTAACTTCTGTGGCGTTAGAAGGCAGCATGAGGTGAGGTCCTTGCTGTATGCAGCCATCAGGTCTTGGACTTCCAACCTCCATGACTGAGAACCTAAGGAAGCCTTCCTCTAGAAATTACCTGGGAGCCGGTATAGCTCAGTCAGTGCTGTAGCTCAGTAGAATATTTGCTGAGCATGTTCAAGGCCCTGGGTTCCACTCCCAGCTAACAGCAGTCTTAGATATTCTGACCGCGGTGGAGTGGACACTACAAAGCACGGTGGTTCCAGTGGCTATTGCTATTCTGATATCACAAAGAGAATAGAAGCCCAAGGGAAAAACAACAAAGAGCTGGAGCCACGAGCACTTGCTGCTCCTGCAGAGAACCTGGGTTTGTTCCCAGCACCCACACAGCGACGAGGAACTGTCTGTACTTCCAGTTCCAGGGGATCTTTCACCCTCTTCTGCCCTCTGTGGGCACTGCACACATGTACACTTACATACATGAAGGCAAAACGCTCATAAAAAATTTAAAACAAAAACAATGAAGGTGGGGCATACCTTTAATCCCAGTACTCAAGAGGCAGAGACAGGAGGAGCTCTGTGAGATCAAGGCCAGCCTGGTCTACATAGTAAGTTCCAGACCAGCTGGGGCTACAGGGAGACCCTGTCTCAAACAAAACAAAAAAACCCCAAGGAACTATAGTCTTATATCAAAATGTAGTAGAACTAGCCAGATGTGGTAGCACACCTTTAGTCCTAGCACTCGGGAGGCAGAGGCAGGTGGATCTCTGAGAGACTGAGGGCAGCCTGGTCTACATAGTGAGTCCCAGGCCAGCTGGGACTACAAGAAGACTTTGTCTCAAAACAAACAAAAAAAAACAAAAAAGAAAAAAAAATTAAACAAGTGAAAAAGGAAAACCAGTAGAACTGGACCCTGAAGGCAGTTTTTTCTACCTCTCAAGAGTCTCTGCCCTTGACCCCTGCCATGGGACTACAAGAAGACTTTGTCTCAAAACAAACAAACAAAACAAAAAAGAAAAAAAAAATTAAACAAAACAAGTGAAAAAGGAAAACCAGTAGAACTGGATCCTGAAGGCAGTTTTTTCTACCTCTCAAGAGTCTCTGCCCTTGACCCCTGCCAAGGGCCTGGGAGCCAGGCAGGCGGCCCCAGGGTGCCTCTCAGCCCTACCTCTGCAGCACCCTGGGGACTGGGGACTGGAATCCAAAAGGCCCTCTGAGGGCAGAGAGGAAATGCCCATGGCACAGATGGAGGTATGGAGACCACAGGAGGGAAGAGACAGACCTCCCTTTGTCCACAGAATGACTGAACTGGCTCAAGGATCCCTGATGACTGCTCGCACTCCAATACCCTCTTACAACTCCAACCCATCAAAGTTCACGGGGGTCCAAACTATAGGTGACTGGAACACCAGAAGACATGCTGGCCATGGGTTCCCTGGCCAGGGCCCATGACTGGCAGACAGGTGCTCTGGCTCACAACCTCCAGCAACTGTCTCGGAGGAGCCCCAAGTTTCACAAGGCAGAGATGAGCAAACTCCTCAACCAATTAGTTAACAGAGACCAGCAAGTTTCGGAGGGATGAAGGGGCAGACCCTGGCCCATAGCAAGGAGACCTCCAAAAGCTACTTGTGTTATAGATTTATTTGATATTTGAACTGAGTCTACAAGTCCAGACCCACGTGTAACGGACTGCTTCCTGGTTGTCAGAGGCTAGTGTGCATTATTTCCAAGGGTTACATCTAATGACACGACGCAGAAAACACAGATGCACGGAGAGACAGACATAATAGTTAAGACAAGAGACGCTAAAACGTGCCTTAGTGTCCACATGATTGATCTAAGGCAGGGACCCTTCTAAAGTGGGG